CTCTCTCTCTCTCTCTCTCTCTCTCTCTCGCATAATATACCCATCAATTGCGGATATATATGACGTTCATATTTGTGTGTTTAGCATGTATTCAAGTGGTGGGAGTGTTTACATCGTGGTTATCTATAATGGAATCGCTTGTCTCATACCATCGGGCGTTTGTGTTGATAATCGCCGAAAGCCCGGCCAATGTTTGGCCCGTATGTTATAAAACGCATGTATTTGTTTGTTGCTTAAAACATAATAACTATTGCATATATTTGTCTTAATCCGTAGGGACTTATTGTCCAGTTTTTGTGGCACTTCTTTTCAATTGGCGCCCGTGTGTTAGCCCTCACGCTATTTGCCATTCAATTCCCGCAATACCTAATCATTGTGTTTGTCGTTCATTTTGTGGTGATGTTTGTGCTGGATCATTTGTTGAGACCCAACAAGTTTAACAATCGATTTGAACGGTTAAGCCATCAAGCTGTTTTAATAGTCATTTATATATTTGATTTTTACCAACCCGTCGATCAATCAGAGAGACAACGATTCGTTGCATATAATATAGCAATGTTTGCCCAAAATATCATTTTAATCACTCTCTGGGAAACACTTCGCAATGACTGCCAATGGTATTACCCGATTGCTATATACATGCATTTTATCACCTATTTGATTAGTGTATGTCTTATGGTAAGTGTTTTATTAAATGTATAGTATTGTTATGTTACATAAATTATGTATTTGATATAAATTTATTTGATTTACGTAATGCCCATATTATAGTTAATCCATTATAAATGGTTAAATCCGTTTCGTAAGGTTGTTGCCTATGAAGAGGCATACAAAGCATGGGAACGAGATAAACGAGTGCATTATATTAATGATTACATTAATTATTGTTATTAAATGTTTGACAATTTATGGCAAAACTTTGCTTCACTTCACTATACAAATGCCATAATAATTATGTTGGTCTATAATTGTAAATTCACTCAATGCTATGTCTATAATTTGTTTAAAATATTCAAAGTTCAATATTTTAATTTGATTTTTAATACAAATGCTTAATTTTTCGTTAATTATTTTTTCCGTATCTATCTTTATAAAAATTATAAGTTCCGTGTTTTATCTTGTTTTGAGATTTAATTTATATCATGGTTACTATGTATAATGAATTATTATACACATGTACTGCATATTTTGTTTAACACTTAATTTAATTATTAACCTTTTTTATTTGTCATTTCAATGAAAGCTATTTTCATCGTAATATCTAGTTCATTTGCAATATACAAATATTGTTTTTAATTTATTACTTATTAAATTTTGTATTATTTGAAATAATTACTACATTAATAACAAATAAGTTTTTGTGAATTTTATAAAATAATAAATAATTATTTTAATGAAAGTTTTAACTAATTTTATATTATAAATCAAAATGAAAAACAAAATTAATAAATTATGTGAGATTTGTGGCCATAAAGCGAAAAGTAAGTGTTATTTAATATATAATTTACTTTTATTTAAAATTTATTATGAAAATCATTTAATTATAAACATTTTAAATAAATTTTAGGCCAAAATTTTGGTGTCATATGTTGTGAGCCCTGTAAATCATTTTTTAGACGAAATGCACCCAAACCTAAGGTTTATATAAATTATTTCAAATTATGACATTTTATAAACTAATTTTTAATGCAATTTAATAGCAATTCATTTGTGTATTCAATGATAATTGCATTATAAGTGCGGACACAAGAAATGACTGCAAAAAGTGTCGTTTGGATAAATGCTTTGCTCTCGGAATGAAATGCAATGTAAATACAATTAATAATACTTATGATTATTAACAATTAATAATTAATAATAATTAATTTACATTGCTAATATTATATAACAATTTTTATTGTAGTTTCAAAGCGATGAAAATGAGATACAAATAATTGAATGCAAAATAACTGAAAGGCAGAGCAATACAGGCGAGAAAATTGATGGTGAAAGTGAAGAGAGTTATAATGAATATACAAATTATGATAGTATTGGCGATGAGTTTGTCCAACAAATTGCCACAAATATAGTAATCGGTAATAAAGAGAGCTATAATTCCGCACTCATCCCGATATCCAAACCCCTCACCGATTATAACGGCTTAAAACAACTGGAGTTCAGCCGTATATCGGAAGCGATCGGCGCTTCAAAAGCTTTCATTGAACCGATTGCTAAAAATATATACAAAACAAGGGATAAAATTGAATTTCTTGCCATTAAATCGCAAATGAATGATAAATTGGCCAAAAATACCATCAAATATACAAAAGGTTTAAAGGGTTTCGCGGATCTCAGGCCTGAAGACCAGTACTCGTTGTTTAAGTACGGATGCATTCAAATAATTTATATCAGACAACTCACACATTACAACCAAAATACACGCTATTTTATCATGAATATGGTAATTATTAAATGTTTAAATATTGAGTTTTTACCATATTTCATTAAAAAATTATTGTGCTATTTATAGGACAACGAGAATTCAATTGTTTATACTTTAAAAACAATTAATAGTTTGCGGACCAGGGCGGATTCATCTACAATGATGCTTGATAAGTTATTTAATAAATTCTTGGACAATGTATGTCCTGAATGGCAATGGGATCTAATTGTATTGGATTTGGTAATTCATTTAATTATATCTATAAGTTTTATGTATTAATTTTATGCTAACATTAAACACAGTTAACGGCGATAATACTATTTAACCCAAATCGACCCAATTTAATACATAGGGATATAATTAGGTATTTATAAAACAATTATTAGCATTTAATTAATTATTAATTGTATTGTTTGTTAGACTCGAACAACAACTGTATATATATTTACTGCAAAGATATCTACTATTGAAATACTCGTCGGAATCGGAATCACAAACAAAATTACAAACNCAACAACTGTATATATATTTACTGCAAAGATATCTACTATTGAAATACTCGTCGGAATCGGAATCACAAACAAAATTACAAACATTTATGACTTCATTGAAAGACTTGGAAGCGATTCATGACATCCAGAGATGGGAGTTAACTAAGGAATGGGAATATGTCAGTCCACTCGTCAAAGAGATATTTGAATAGATGTACCATGATACTAAATATTAATAATTTAAATTTTATAATTTATCACTCGATACCTCGCATTGCATTAGTTGTCAATATTAAAATATTTGTAAATTTCTAGTCAAGTCCTGTATTAAAAATTACTACTCTATGACATAATCATTAAAATTTATCTAATTTAAAAATACTGTAGTAAGTTACATTTACATGTATATAATACAGGTACAGTACATATACAGATTAAAAATTTAAAAACATATTTTGTTAGCATTTAACTTTGTGATAAAATTTTACAAGTAAATTATATCTGATTTCATACTAGCTGAGCACTAGTTATAAAATTTGTTTAAACAAGATTTAAAACATGTAACATCTCTGATATTTGTACTGTAAAATATTTTTATACCGAGATGAAATACGTGTTCAAGTGAGTTATAGTAGTGCCCCAAATTTTCATATTTTTCAGTCACGATCACTCACGCTCACGTGAGATTTATTCACGTTCACGCACGCTCACAAGGCTTAAAAACTCACTCACGCACGATCACTCACGTCACTCACGATAATTGCAGGCGCGTAATTCAATTTATGCTATGGATCTATAAATGCACGTGTACATGCAATTTTTCTAGTCATTAGGTTAATATA